CAAAAGAGTGCAGAGTGTAGTATCAGCACAACCGACCCCATGTGTTGGTAAGTGTCTGGCCTAACCCAAGCGAAGTAGTGACGAGGCTAGGACCAAACTACCAAATAAACCTGTGCAGTTAAATCATGTACAGCGGAAATAGAAGCAGATAATTACAACTAAAGTTGGGCGGGGGAAAACATGCTGCGGGGAGTAACAGGTAACAACAGAATAATAGTAGAAAAGTGTAAGGAACATCATAAATCAAATACCAGCAAAAGATAAGGAAATAAGAAACAAGTACACTTGTAATACCGTTGCAGGCGTGCAACTCGATCTTATTTCATATAATACCGTTGCAGGCGTGCAACCCGCTCCTATTTCATATATTTCCGTTGCAGGCGTGCAACCCGCTCCCATTTCATATATTATTGCTGCAGGCGTGCAACTCGCTCCCATTTCATATATTACCATTGCAGGCGTGGAACCCGCTCCCATTTCATATTTCAACACCAATCATAAAAGAGTCCCTACAAGGAAACAATAATATAACAACAACCTCCCGGCAAGGGAACAGTAGTATAATCCTCATATGAAGCACGAATAAACCACAACAGAGTCATAACAACTACAATACAAGACTCACGGGCATGCTTGACACCGGCGCATAGATATTTGTCACCATGTCTATACGTCGTACTCCACAGTTAACACATAGAAATTAAGACACAACTCCTAATCCCTCAAGCTAAGGTTAGACCAAACGCTTACCCGATGCCACGAACACAATTCACGTCTCAACTATCGCTTTACCCCTTGATTTCACCACCAATTCGCTCGTATCTAGTCACAAGTTACTTAATTACATCAATAAACGCTAAATGAACAAATTCTAATGCATGAAAATAAGTTTTATAAAGTTTTTCCTCAAAATTCAAAAAGCAACCCCGGGCCCACATGGTCAAAACCCGAGGTTCGAACCAAAACTCGACTACCCATTCACTTATGAACTCAAATACATAATTTGTTTTGAAATCGGACCTCAAATCGAGCTCCAAATCCCCAAAATTTGAAAAAAAACCTAGATTCTACCCAAAACACCCAATTTCCCCTTGAAAATCATCGATTTTGAGTTGAAATAATGTTAAAAGATGTTAATGATTGAAGGAAACGAGTTAAAATTGACTTATAATCGATTTGGAAGAAGAGTTGTTCTTTAAAAATTGCCCTAGGGAGTTTATGTTTTGAAAAGGTGTGAAAAATGGTTGATTTTCGGCTAAGTATAAAAATTGCAGGTTGCAGTATGGGAATGGGTTCGCAATTGCAAACCCTTCAGAAAATTTGGACTTTCGCATTTGCGATACACTCATCATTCTAGCCATCATCGCATTTGCGAGAGGCTATTCGCAAATGCTAAATCGCATTTTCGTGAATACAGTCGCATTTGCGACGCATGCTGCCAGGTCCACTCTTCGCATTTGCGAAGGTTTGTCGCATTTGCACGCCAGGCTTCGCATTTGCGAAGCCTGCAGACCTGATCACACCAGCTGAGGATCTGCAATTTTCCAAGTCTAAAATCCACCCCGTGGCCTATCCAAAACTCACCCGAGTCCCGACAAACCAAACATGCACACCAACCTAAAAACATCGTACAGACTCGCTCGTGCATTCAAATCACTAAAATGACATCAACAATTATGAATTTAGCATCAAATTCTTGAAATTTTCTCAAGAACTTCAAATTTGCCAATTTTCTCAAAAACGATTCGGTTCACGTCGTTTCAAGTCCGTTTCTTACCAAATTTCACAAACATATCTTAAATCACATGTAAGATCTATACCGGGCACTGGAACCAAAATACGGGCCCGATACCATCAAGTTTTAATCACAATTCATTTCCAAACCTCATAAATAATTTCAGAAAACAATTTTCTTTAAAAATTCATTCCTCGGGCTTGGGACCTCGGAATTCGATTCCGGGCATACGCCCAAATCCCATATTTTCCTACGGACCCTTCGGGAGCATCAAATCACGGGTCCGGGTCCGTTTACCCAAAATGTTGATCGAAGTCAAATTAATTCATTTTAAAGTCATAATTCACCATTTTTTACAGATTTTCACATATAGGCTTTCCGGCTACACGCCCGGATTGCGCATGCAAATCGAGGTGAGGTAAAAGGGGAGGTTTTTAGGCCTCGGAACACTGAATTTATTTCTAAAACAAGTGATGACTTTTTGGGTCATCACAATGCTGAATCTTCTCCAAGCCCTAAACCAACCCTCTAGCTCCCCCAAGCCTTAGGAATTCTAGCCTTTATCTCCTGAACCGTCTAGTACCTTCAGTGACCAGGATTAGGGATTTTTCTATCTTTTTTTGCTCATGTTTAAATGTTTTTTGCTTTCTGGTTGTGGATTGTGGTACCAACATATCTTCTATCAATGATATCTACTGTTTTGGCTCTTGTTCATTGTTAATCTTTCCTTGATAGTTTAAATATGTTTGCTTGATTACTGATGATTAAACCATGATTGCACTTGCAGTTGTCCCAGTGGCCATGAGTACTTATTAAAATCTGCGACTCACACTTTGTATGCAACTTTTCGATGATGCCAAAAGGGGGCAGAAATATGGTGCTTTACACATTCTGAATAAGTGATATTTATAAACTAATTAACCTGGTCCTTGATGATAAGTGAATTTTCTAAACCTTGTATTGATGGTTAAGCTGAGTTCTCACAGGATCCAAGTAAGTAAAAAGCACAGCGTTTGTCATCATCAAAAAGGGGGAATTTGTTGGCCAAGAACAGGTGAAGTTTTAAAGATTGACAAAAGAACTCGGACATGGACCAGGTCCATCTTGTGCAGCACAGTCATGATCGATCCAATCATGTGAGATGCATGTGAAGGAGATAAATCTAACTTATCATAAGTAATATCTCCTGATCTAATCGAAAATGTTGCATATTGGATAAGGAGAGAAAGACTCCTTACATGAAGAGAACACAGTTGAGATCAAGATAGTGTTAGAGTTTGAGATCATCTTGAACTCTTCTACGATAGAAGAGTAGTATTTGAATCACAGTCAATCTCTGATTACTAACCCATTAAATAGTAGTGTTGTTCTCTTTTACAAGTAATGCACATAAGCAGAAGTTAAACTTAAATTGAGAGCAAAAGAGCAATGCGATTTTGCAAGCAATTTATGTATGATTCAAGTGTGCAATTCTGAAGCTACTTGAACAAGATAGAAGAACCAGTTTCAAGTGTCTACTTTTATTCTAGTTCAATTGTAGTAGGTGTTTTACTTTGTACCTTTCAGCTTTCATAGAAGCAATTGTAATAGGTACTTTGAGTATTCAAGTTAGAGTTAACTTGAAGTTGTCGCAACAGTTGAGGTTGTTTGCCACAACGGGACTAGAGTTAATCCTTAGGTTTACAAAGAGTTTTGTAAATGCAGTTTCGGCTCAGTGATTTTAGTGGAAGTTTGGGAAAATCCTACTGAGTAGTAGGTCATGGTTTTTCACCTTTTGAGCCAGGTGTTTTCCACGTAAAAATATCTGTGTTCTTTATTTTCTTTATTTATTATTCCAAACAGTAGTAATTGGAACTCATAGAAGAACCAGGTCCTTCTATAGTTCAGTTAAGCAAAAATTGGGTACCACACAAATCACCCCCCCCCCCCCTTTGTGTGGTATTGACGTGTAAAACATCACATGAATACGTTGGCGACCCATTGGGGGTATTTTGATTCCCTGATGGAGCCGTTAGCGAGTTGTTTATCCACTTCATCGCTGATGGCTTCGTTGATTGCAGCATTAATTTTTCTTCTTACTTACCGTATTGGAGGGTAGAGGGGATCGACGTTCAACTTGTGTGTGGCAACGTCTTTCAGGATACCTGGCATATCTACATGGGAAAAAGCAAGCAGATCGGCGTTGTTAATTAAAAACTTATGAAATTTACCTGGTTCGGAGAGTTTATGGCCTATGTAAGCCTTTTTGATGTTGTCGCTGCTGTCTATTTGGATGGGGTCAAGATCATCTATCGTTGACCCTGCGGCTTCCACGACGTCGGGGTCCTTGATAACGTCTTTTTGTTCATTGAGTTCGGACCCCGACTTTGATAATTGCTATGTTTCTGTGTCTGTTCCTTTTAGCTATTGAGTGTATGTACAATCATGGGCAATGCGATAGCATTCTTGGGCTGTGCGTTGTTCGCCTCAGATGCTGAATATCCCCCATGGAGTAGGGAACTTGATTACTTGATACAAGCTGGACAGGATGGCCCTCATGGCATGTATCCATGGTCGTCCTATGATAGCGTTGTAAGTTGTGTCCTGGTTCATGACATTGAACATTGTTTCTAGGGTGACTCCCCCGGCCAGAACGGGCAGCGTTATTTCTCCTGAGTTTCGCTCGACTGCATTGTTAAAACCTGTTAGTGTTATGCAGCGTGGTACTATCTTGTACTCGAGTCGTATTTGTACGAGAACTCTAGGGTGAATAATACACGCGCTGCTTTCGTCGTCTACCATTATGCTTTTTACATCAGTATCTGAAATACATAAGGTAATGACAAGAGCATCAAAGTAAGGAAAAGTTAAACCGTTGGTATCTGACTTATCGAAGGTGATACTTTCTTCGAGGTCATCATACAGTTTGTGGGTGATTGATCGCTTCAGTTTATGTGTGGTGGTAAACTTTACGTGGTTGATTGCTGCTTCATCGCCTCCACCGATGATCATTTGGATGGTGCAGGCAGGGGAAGGTGGCTTTGGTGGGCCTTGGTGTTGTTCTCGTCCGTGGCCAAAGTTGGCTTGTCCTGGTCACTCATCAGCTCCCTCAGGTGCCCTTGGTGAAGCACGTTCACTACTTCTTGCCGCAGGGCTATGCAGTTCTCGGTCTTGTGGCCCCGCTCCTGATGGAACTCACAGAGGACATTTGACTTTACGGTACTTGGGTCGGACATCATCTTCTATGGACACTTAACCTTCGGGCCGAGCTTCTCTAGTGCGTACACTATTTCTGAACGGGAAACACAAAAGTTGTGAGCAGATAAGAGTGGAGGCATACCTCATTCGTTCCGCTAAGTCCCTGTATGCGGCCTGGACGGTCCTTCTGCATGGCGAAGAGATGGTGGATGGTTGTTCTGACATAAGGTTGGTGCTTGTCTCGGTTGAGGCGTAGACCTGACTGGTCTCTTCGATCGTCATTACGACGGTCTTTTCTTGGCTCTGCTTGGACCGACGTTAACCGTTGGATTGGACCGTTAAGGTCATCCTCTTCTGCTCTCACCTCGGCGCAGTAGCCGTTGTGAGTTTCTTCCCAAGTGGTGGCAGGGTATTTCATGAGTCTGCTTAATAGTTTTCTTGTCGCTCTTGACCCATTCCTGTTCAACCCATTTTGGAAAGCTACCACCGCCATCCCTTTCGATACATTTGGTAAGCTCATTCTTACTCTGTTAAACCGAGCTAAAAAGTCCCTGAGTCCCTCGCCAGGCGATTGCCTAACGACGAATATATCATTTACCCTGGCTTCTGCCTTCTTAGCCCCGGTGTGGGCGGTGACGAACTTGTCGGTCATTTCCTCGAACGTTGTTATAGATCGTGCTGGTAATTGTGAGTGCCAGGTTAAGGCTCCCCCGGTTAAGGTCTCGCCAAACTTCTTTAGTAATACTGATGGTACTTGCTCCTTTGAGAGGTCGTTTCCCTTTACTGTTGTAATATAATGAATGATGTTATCTTCGGGATCTGTCGTGCCATCATATATCTTCAAATATGGTGCCATCTTAAAGGTTTTGGATATGGCATGTGGGGCTGCCTGCTCGCTGTATGGTTGTTCGACGAATCGGCCGACGTCCCGCTTTGGTAGTAATTTCGGGGCGCCCTATCGACCCTTTCTTGATGCTCCTTCATTTGGTCGCGGAGCGATTTATTCTCGTTCTCCATTTCTTCATTTTCTTTAGGATGGCGGCAAGTGCATCGTTACCTGCATCAACAGCAGTGTGAGTGCTACCTGTTGGGGGAGCGGGTTGCTCGTCGGTGGTTGCTGTGATATCCATTTGTAGTGACGTTTCTATTCGCCCGTTGAGCGTGTTTTTCGAGTATGTCTCTTAGAGTGCTCGTCAACCACGTCTCCAGTAGGTTTTTGATAGCTGGCGGTGCTTCCTCAGCTGTGGATGTGGAGGCTCCCCTTTGACGTGAAGCAGTTACACTTCCATGAGGGGGAGGTGAGTTGCTCCGCCTGGGTGTAGCACTCGGCATCGTGTTCTCTTCGCCTTCTCTGTCAACCTCGTTGATGGTGTTCAAGAGGTTGGTAGTGACGTCTACTACTGCTTTCAGCCTTTCATCTATTTTTCCTGCCATTGTTAGTTCGTGCAAACTAGGAAAAGATGGATGATGCTGTTGTTGTTTTTTTTAATCTAGAAAGAACTAAAATTTTAACTAGAAACTCTCTATAGACGGCGCTAAATTGTTTGATCAAAAAGTGTTAAGCTCTTTGTTAAACTAGTTAATGATAAGGTAGAGGGTGAATCCTAGTTAAATATAATGTGATCTAGACAAAAAACTTGGACAGATCCGTGGAATAGAACCACGTTTGAGAGTAATAAAGATCAAACACGTGTTCAATGATTATCAATGAATATTGTGATAAGAACATGTAATAAATGTAGATAATGGCAATGAATATAATAAAGAGGAATTTATCACCCAAATGTTAGACGGTTTGGGTGATTCTTCTTCCTGACAGCAACGTGGGATGAAGATAAGTAAAGATGGATAAGGACTCTTTGGATCTTGTGAACAAAGAATGAATAATGTATGTTGACCAAAGTAGTCAGTGAACAAGACAATATTTGTATATTCTTTCAAGTCAACTCTTTACAAAGTGCTCTTATCAAGAAGTGAAGATCTCCCCTTTGTTCTCTATCTCTTCCTATTTATAAGGGATATCCCCAAGAAACCCTAAAAAATACAACATAAGGAATATTTATTTTTAAATATGTCCTACCGTTACTTCCTTACTCCACTTGCTCGTCCTTAGCGATAATCCTTCTGAAGACGACTCCTCGTTATTATGCTGTAGTCGTCCCCCTTCCTCGACCCTGTTTATCTACAGTTATCAAGCCGTCTAAATCTAAACCAATACAGAGTGGAACTTCTAAAAGGTATTGGAGCAGAACTTGATCAGTTAGATTAACTGTGCCCGAATCAATTGACTAATTAGTTTGATATTAGACAATGCTCACAACAAATTTTCTAAATTTCTACAGGGGTCCAAAGTATCTTAAGCAACACTAGTTGGAGTTTAGGTTGAAATATGCTAACGGTAATAATCTGAGACACTGAATAGAATTTGAATATTAGATAGTTGACTCTCTTTTTAATTAAAGTTTACTTGACTTTTTAGAAAGGATACGACATATCTTAAATCCAAATTTCAGGAAACGGATCTTTTGAAATTCTATTCATAAGATAAGCTTGAACAAGGAAAACTTTTCTTCTGGATTTGGTAATAATGTAGTTCTCAGTTGTTCCAGACTAGTGCATGAAACAATTGAATAACATAAAGGATATTTTGATAAGCTTATACGCGGGTTAAGCACTGAAAATTTGTCAAATTAGTGTATAAAAAAATTTGGACTTGGGACTCTACAAAATGAGCCCATCAAGTTACTTGTTAGCTACTCCACCCAAAATCTAATTTATCCCTATAAATAAGGCTATATATGTCCTTCAAAAATGATCCTAGCAATTACATAAATACTCGGAATATGCACAAATATTCATTAAAAGATCAAAGACATGTCAAATAATGTTAGTAATATTCAAAATCAAAATAAAGTGCTACTACATGCTTCTTGATTATCAACTACATCAAGGAGATGCATATCATCCTACGTTCGAGAAATACACCGCTAAGGCCCCGGACGTTTTCGGGATGCCACTAATAACCAACGAATGGCAAGTGCTTTTCCTTGTGTGGATCCTATTTCAATGGGAACTTGATGAGTCGATCCACCTACACGTCTTGCTTTTACTGTTATATCGGGAGTTACTCCACGTATTGCTTGACGTAAAACGGATAGTGGATTTGTTTTTGTCTTTTGTTGAATCTTTTTCACGGCTCGATAGATAATTTGATAAGCCAATGTCGAGTTACGGATAATATATCAGAGAGAAGAATCAAGGGAACAAGCAGAATTGTACCCACAAAGATCCATCAATAAAATTATTCATCTTTTATGTTTGCGATTGCAATTGATTTTTCGTATGTCAAAAGTTTATTGCAAACAAATTGACACGCCCAGTGGGACCAATTTTTCCCTTCATCTCTTCCTCTCATAAAGCGAGGTCTGCAAATTCCAAAACTAGCTTGGGGGGGGGGGGGTGTGTGTGCTAATATCTCTTGTTCCCTGTTCGTCGAAGTTTGACGCACATTGTCAACACAAAATCGAAGGTGTACTTCAAGTCTCGTCTTCAAATTTCGGTTGGCCTACTCTCCGACAAACCATGAAGTATGGGGCACTTGTAGACATTGAAAATTTATCAAATTAGTGCATAAAAGACTTTGGACTAGAGCCTCTACAAGATGAGCCCATTAGGATTACTTGGTGGCAATTCCACACAAACCCTAATTCATGCCTATAAATAAGGCTACAGATGTCATTCAAAAATGTTCTCAGCAATTACATAAACTCTCTGAATATGCACAAAGAGATCAAATATACGATTTCCTAAATTCTATAAAACTCTTGGAATATTCATTAAGAAATCAAAGACGTGTCAAATATGTCTTGCTCAAAGTTTTAGTAACATTCAAGATCCAAGTGGAGAGCTACTACATGCTTCTTGATCATCAAATACATCAAGGAGATGTATTTCATCCTACGCTCGAGAAATACGCCGTTAAGTCTCTCAAATTACGGATAACAAATCAGATAGAAGAATCAAGGGATAAACAGAGTTGTAACCTACAATGTTTATCAATAAAATTCCTTTTTTTTTTCTTTATAGATTTTTGTGATTGCAGTTTTATTTTTCTGCACAAATTTATTGCAAACAACTACTAATAACTTTTCAACTTATAAACATTTATCGATATATTTATTGTCTTGTCTCTAATATTTATTGTCATACCCAAATACTTCCGTAAAATAAAACTCGAAAATACCGTTAAATTCAATCTTCATCAATTGTCTTTTAAGTACTTCTTAATTTATATTTTTATAAATAACTTTACGAATATTTTAGTCACTTTATAACAAAATTATGAACCTGCTTATTATTAATCTTAGACATTTATATCAAAATATATAATCGCCTATTTAAAAATTCACTTTTAGCACTTAAAATTTTCAATATTTCATTCTTGTCCACTTTCAATCAGCCAAGTCAAATGAACTCATAATTCATTAATCTCTTTCTCTTTTTACCTTCTTTTAAATCCAAATAATGTATTGTATTCTAAAGAAATATATGCACTCGAGTAGTGTGTAAGTTGTTGCCCCCTGTTTTAAGATGTAGAACTGGGACCAGATGGCCACTTTAAGGTCCGCTATTTAAGTTTTAATCAGCTTTTGTAAATTATTTTATGTTTAGCCACAATTTAAAAGCGAATATATATTACTTTTTTGTTTCTTTGCTTTGTCAAACTTCAAGATATTGTATCCTAAAGTTTAGTTTTTTTTTTCCAAAACTTTAGCATAAGTTGTCCTCGAGTTTAAATTTTTAGTTAAAAAAACTTCAAATTATTTCCTTAAGTTTAGTTTTTTCAGTTCAAACTTTTGAATTCTAGTTTTAGTGTCATGAAGTTCAATTTTTTAATCTAAAACTTAGCATATTATGTTGTTGAATTTACTTTTTGTTTTTTCAACTTCAAACTTCGGGATTTCAAATTTAGTGTCCTAAAGTTCGATTTTTCCAATTCAAACTTCAGGAAAACTATGTCTTGAAATTCAAACTGTATAGTTTGATCTTCAATTCAAACATCAAGCTTGTGTCTTGATGTTAAATTGTTGTGATTCTAACTTTGGGCCACTAAAGAATAAGAAAGAATCTAAAGTAGTAGTGACCAATTTGATGTAGTTTCCTTGTAATTTTGATGACTAAAACTATGAACGTGTTCTTGAATTTATGTCCTTAAAATTGAATTCCACAATTCAAAACATTAATTCTAACTCCTATAAATAAAGTACGGATATGATGTGAGATCCATGATTGGTTTGCTCGCTAGTGTGGATAGTAAGAGAAGAAGAAAAAGAAGAAGCGAACTAGGTAGTGAACTCTTTTACGTATTGACAAAACCTTAAAATTTTCTAGAAAAGTTATTCATTCGGCTGCTCGGCCAAAAATATTTATATGTTGAGATAAAATGACCCAAAGATGCTCTAAACATGGTGTAATATTGTCCACTTTGGGCCAATCCCGCACGAGTTTTCCCAAAAAACCTCACATCATTAAGAGTATCCAACTCCTTATAAGTAGAATCTTTTTCCTTTTTACTTTCCATGAGGGACTATGGTCACACTCAACCAACAATCTCCCCCTTGAACTAAGTTCCACTTGACCCATCATCATTTATGGGCTAATTTTGAGATTAATTGTATGCAACCTACATGATCCGAGTATTTACGGTCACCAAAGCCCAAAGGCTGCGTTTGCATTTTCAAGTCTAAATAGCACGGTATAGCCAGTTTTCGGACTGGTCATTCAAAAATAGCCAGCGTTTACCAAGTCAATGAAAAATAGCCACTATTTTGCTGCAGCAGAGACCGGTCCAGCATA